TTGTCGCAAGCGTACTTTCCTGTATAACCGTTTACCCTGGCCGCTTGAACTTGTGTAGCAACATACTGGCCTGGAATGCGCGCACGCAAGCCCTTCTTTGCTGTAAATTTGTTGTAGTCATCATTTACAGCAATTTTGGAACATCTGTAATGACTACAGCAAATCTACAGCAAATTTACAGCAAATTTATGATTTAAGAGAAGATATTTTTTAATAGAAGTCCGAATATCAAAACATCACCAGGACGTGAAGCGTTAAACAACAATTCAATTCTATGAAAAAAGGAGATTTTTGGTTTGCTACCCCTGCAGAAAGAGTGAGAAAATTGGTCTGTCGCGCATGCATGCTCAGATTCACAACAAATTGCGGCATATCCCTGGAACGGCCGGGAAATAGAAATTTAGCATACAATTCTTGAGAGTAAATATTGATTTTCCCGGCCGTCCCGGGAATGGCGGGGAACTGTAGTCCATGTAGTCAAATCACACGCATTTACCAATTGAATCATGCAATTTTATTTAGTTGTCATAGTTGGTTTGTCACAGCAATGAAGGGGGTATACAACACAGTGCTGGTTTCACGCATGGCGTCGCAAGATCATACACTATGATCCTGGCGTTAGCCAGGTTTTAGACAGATTTAGAACAAGGTAACAATCCATGAATGTTTGATGTGATAATCGATGTGTCTGAACCGCCTACATCATTATTGAAATGATGTCCAAGCACCTCTAAGCCAATAACAATCCATATTGCAGATTAAATCAAAACTCGGAGGCTCATCGCACTGCAATTATTGGTGTCTCAAATACTTCAAGATTGGAAGCAAGAACAAAGTGATGTCAGTGTGATGACGGCAGCCCGATCTGGTGCCGACAACAAACTATTTGGAAGCAAGGTGAATGAAGGCACGAATACTGCTCAACTCTAGCAGCTGATACTATTGCTATGATACTATTGAAATGCTTACTTATGTGAGGCTTGCAAGAACCAGCCAGTAGTGGATTCGGTAGATAATCGGCGGTGTCCTCAATGGACTCAACATTTTGGGAACAAGCAAGATGAGTAAGGGCCACTACAAAGCCTATTTCACCGCAAAGGGAGTAAATACGTGCTCCACAATTGAAGGCATGCAATAATCAACCAGTTTTGAGTAAGATTCACAGGCGAAAGCATTGACAGAAACAGTGCATGGTTCCTAGGAAAGTCTGATACAGTATAGTAATAGATGATGCTTTCAGATTTGAGTATTGTATATTCTACTCTGATGGCAATTCAATCAACCTTTTTGCACCAGTTTGAGACAATGACTTGATTCCAAGGGTGAAGAGACTCCTACCTAGTACCTTCCTATACCAATATCAGCAGTTGATTTCAACCTGCCATCAGAGAAGTCTGAATGATATTTGACAATACATAGTAGTGCTCTATCTGTAAGATTGAAAAGTCAGTTTCTATTGTTTGATCTATCTATTACCTCATGTAGTACCAGCCAATTTCAGTTGCCAACCTATCACTCCATTCTTCAGGGCAGCTCAAAGTCATCCTAGGGGATCTAAAGCGCTTCATCATGATCGAGGGCTAAGGTTGGTCCTTAAGATAAGGTCTTTAGTTGTTTAACAAGACAAAGAGAAACTGCTAGGGCCATATGGAGCTTGGACGTAACATCCCCCTAACATCATTTGAAATCTGGAGAGTACTAATCTAGTGTGGAAGAGAGTTAGTCGAATCTATCATTAGTGATAGAGAGCTGTGATTGGCTCATACCACTAATAATAGACTCATTTTTAGTGAATCAACTAACTCTCATTGGCTAAAAGTTCACTAAAGACCCCACCACCATAAAAACAAGAACCCACAGCACCGCACTGTTGCCACTGTTGCCGAGGTGGAGCAAATGTTCACGCACACCGTTTACCGGTAGTACCCTGGTACCTGGTACCGTTTATGTTCACGAACGATACATACCGTAAGATTCTTATGCTCATGAAGCACGGACGCAGTTGGGCCTGCGTCCACGCGCGCCGTCCTTGATTGAAATCGTTGTTTGTTTTGAAGATTTTATGATGATCTCGATCTTATTATAGTTTCAACGCATCATTGCACCTCTGCTGAAGCTTTATCGTTGGCTGAACGTACCGTACTTATTGCACCGATTTACCTACAATAGCACATTTGGAAAGGAAAGGAAACTCTCACATCCACCGTCAAAGCATTCACAGAATTGATCATGAAAATTATATATGGCCTGAAATTTCTGAAGTTCTGAATCACTCTCGTTGCACATTTCTGATTTCATCGCTGTTTCCATATCAATCAACCAAGCTTCACTTGATCCGCTTCAGCCGATCACAGAAAAGAGGAGGCGGAAAAAGCTGTGTACTCAATGACTGCTTATGGCAACGCATTCGATGCTCGGTCGGTCGATGCAAATTTACATCCAAATTCTGTCTACCGGTACCAATACGCACCATCATACAATACCAACAATGGATTATTCAATGGCATTGAAGATGATGCAAATGGAGGCCCTTTGTCTAGAGCTAGTACAGTTGCAACGGAATCAACATCGACGCAAGCATTCCAACAACCTTACTCAGCAATTTCGTCGTCTAACCATATTGGAATTGCGGCAGTCGTACCAACCATTGTCCTTGGCATATTATTTGTCTATTTGCTTCTTCGTCGGCGACAAATACGCAAGAGAGAATCATATTCCATCATTGGACAATCAACGGGGCTGCGACAAAACGGAAACAGCAGGAAATACAGTGACCGCCTATTGGGAAGCAAATCAAAAAATAATGGTCGAAACCTATTTCGCCATACCAGAAGGGGCGATATATTAGACGACGAAGAAGATGACGACGATCCGCTTTCACGGTATGCCAACTATCATCGCCTGCCAAAGAGCTCTAGAATAAATCTACGACGATCCTCCATGTCATCGCCCAAACATCCCGCATTGGAATGTGTTCCTACCTTTCCAATCCGATTAGAGACCATGAAACTCTTGCGAATAGTCGGTATACGAATGATGGCGCATGGGTTGCAAAGTCTACCTTGACGGGTGTGGATCAGCATCAATGATGAAGCCTTAGTCTGGCAATCCGAAATCAAGACAAAGCTTCCAAACAACCTAGGCGCATCCAGCCTATTGTCCGTACGAGGACCAGTTCACAACAGTGCATGGGGCGATGTCAAATTCATTGATGTGGGCAAAAATATGGAGTCATTGAAGAAGGCAGAATCCAGTTCTACTGACCTTGAATGGCTCGTTGGATTTGCAAGCCAAATCACAGTTGGAACGAGACAGCATGGTCAGCTGTATGGTTTCGATGCTGGATGACTACAACGATGGGGAAGACTGGAGAGCTCATTATTACAATGCCTATGGGGATCCTGTGGGGGAGGCCAAGAAAGGAGGAAGACCAAGTCGTGGGGGCGCAGACGGCGTGGTTTCTTCTGTCATGACATCTTTTTCTCTCATGAGCACCGACTCGTTGCCTCGGGCGATTGATGTGTAAGGAGAAGGTTGAATCTCGATGGAAATCCGATGTTGCAAATTGAATGAATGAAGTAGACTAGCTGTGTATTGTGTGCAAAATGATCGTTGGAGACGGTAGGGCGGAGATATAGGATCCGGGGCCGATGATTTGGAATCAAATACTGGTATGTATTCTAATGAATTGCATGCGTGTCAATATCTAACGCAAGAGAAAGCTGAAGATGTTTCGAATACTGTAGCAATGTATTTTATAATATATTTTGCATTATCATAAGTGGACCAATCGCTCTCTCGCTGGAAATATGTACAGTAACTATAGCTATGGCTCTGGTGGGTTGTGTCACATGTAGAAGCACCATAGCATGATTGACAGATATTCGTCCCTTGCCAATTCGTCCATCTTTTCAGGGGACGTAGTCGGAATGAGTGTTGGACTCTGCAGAGTCCAGTATGGTACAGTATCTTCTATCATCGTTCCACCATTGTAGTATGCATTTTAAATTTGTACATGAGTTGTGGGAAATGAACTCGAAACGAAAATTGGTGTCTGATTCATTCCAGCGAGGAGAAACCAAACCGATTTTTTAAAGAGTTGGTGCGATAGCAAATAACATGTTACATTTTATTCGCCTATAAGCTACAAAAAATATAGTAGCGAAGGAAGCAATGATATAGAATAAATGAAAACGTCTACAAAGCAGGAACTTCGACAGTTTCGTATCATTCGGACGCTACAACCATGAAGAGAGGCAGTACCTTTGACTTAGTTCAAAGGAGCGAAGTCAACTTCCTCCTCAGGAGCACGAAGGTATCGTGGGGCTCTAGATCCTGTTGCTGGTGGGACGGCATTTCCACTATTTCCTCCAACTGTGAATGTTGCAGAACTGACAGATCCGGCAGTGGAGTGGTATTGGAATTTGTAGGTTCCACCGAGTGGCCACATACCAGACCAAGGTCCGAATCCATAGGCGTAAGTGTTAGCCATCATGGGAACGGCGCAGGTTTGTCCTCCACAGGTATATTGCCAGTTGACAGCGTTGTCAAAGACACCGGCGGATGGGGAGTACATTCCCATCCATTCGACGCCTCCTCCGCAGACGGTGACGATGGCAACGATTTGTTCGCCGACTCCGAAGTTAGACTTGATTGGGCGAACAGATGGAGAGCAAAGGTGACGTTCGTTTTGGTCATGCTCTTCGATGAGAGTCACTTGCTCAGTGAAATCACTGGTCTCGTAAGCGGAGACAGCAGCGCTGAAGACAAGGGCCAAGAAAAGCGAAAGGTAGGACTTCATGTTGCTGCGATAGATAGGCAAGAGTATAGTGTGAGATGCCTGTTCTTTTCATTTCATTTCATTTCATTACACACCCATCAATTCAACAATTCATCAACTCGTCAAAACATTCGTACCTTAATCAAAAATTGTAAAGATCTGTTTTTGTGAGAAACGTCAAAATCTTTTTCTGTTTGAAAGAAGAGAGTTTTTTACCGGTACTTGTACGGGGAGTGTACGATTAACGGAACGAGGTAGTCAATCGTACCAATCTTGAATGCACTGCTTGCTCGGTATTGTACCGGTGAATTTTTTCAATGCGCGCGCAAAATTCAAAAAATAATTAGTGAGGTTCGCTTCCTTCGCGACTTTGTGCTCCAATGCCAGCAACGCCAGCTTTGCAGCAGTCACACGAACACGCGGCGCTAGTTAAATTAGACGCGCAGCACCTCACACTATGGATTCAAACGATTTCAACGTCTGCCTTTATCGCCGGCCAATTTGATTCGAAAATTGTTGGTTCTGTTCCTATTTAACGGATTTAGCCGCACATCGTTTCAATCGTTTTCAACGTATACTTTGGAAGCCGGCGGCTCTTCTAACGGATTTAAAATTTTGGAAAAAAATTATTGGAGTGTTTCTACAAAATTCGAAATATTTAACGCCAACCACAGTTGACAAGGACTTTGACAAAACTCTAAATGTTGCCTCCGCAGCGCGAACATATTGCATCTAGTCGCTGCTCAAAACTTTATAATCCCGCCATTAGAGATGAGACTCCGTGTTGTTGAGGTAGCGGCACCGCAGACCGCATGCACATTTATATCGATATCATAGCATTTGCATGCTGATGCCAGCCATAATGGAATTTGATACCTAGGGGATTCAAAATTTCGTTTCCAGCATCGCCTGTCTGAACCGCCCATTCTCGTTGAACGGATTCATGTGAACGGATGGCGCGCATTTGTATTCCTCTCCGACAGGAAGCTGCTGCCGATGGAAATCTTTGTTTTGTGAATGAATGAATGAATAGCACGACTTCGATACTCCAATTACGTTCTACTGTAGCTTGAGCTGGTGAATGAATAGAGGGAGATAACTGCTACCGGTAGATAGGATCGTCAAAGTCCGCACGAGGAAATTTTTTAAAGTTATAGTTTTCTTGAATTGTGGCTAATTTAGATTATGAATCTCTATGATATGCTTCGTGTAATACTGCTTTCGGTGGCTGGCGGCTGGTCGAATGAATGTGCCCTTCTATTCAGAGAACTGTTCACTATCTCATCCCGAGAACTTGTATCCTCTCTCACTTGAAAATGTACCGCGGCTTCCTACTGTATCTGATCAAAGCATTCTTGGTTCTTTCTTGTAGACATGATGTATGATACTTCTGGCACTGTACGAGCTCCGGTCATAACCAAGAATTGTCCCGGCTCTTCGTGCAGGCAAAATTTTATGTCACCATTATTCAGCTGATTGCGTTGAAATGAAGGGTCCAAATATTTCGTCACTATATAGTTGCGGTCTTGACTTCATTCCATTCATTCAATATCCATCAGGTCGGTGTGTCATCTTCCTATCCCATTCCACGAATGTGTGCGACATCAATTTCCAACCTTGCTCCATCACAATTCTCTTCAATGTCATAGGATCTTCGAATGCATTATTCCATCGACAGCTTGCTTTCAGTTGACGACGTTTATGGTAGATAGTCATCGTGAGGCGTGTTAGTTATTGATCTCAACATTTTGGAGAGGCAACAAAGCGTATTATTTTTACTATCAATCGAGGTAATATTTTCATTTAGCCCTTTTGGTGCAAAGGCATTGTTTCTGTTTGGATATAGCGCAATGTACTTCGCATGCCGTACTGTACAGTATGAGATGATGGTTAGCCTGCATCATTGATATCATTGATGGTCGAAGAATGAATGAATGAATCACTCGTTGTTATCATGATCATTACCGCATCTCTATTTTTGTATCTTTTCGTACTGTCGGCCAGACCGTCAGACATGTGGTCATTTTTCAGTCATAACATACGGAAGCTACTATGTATACCGTATATTCATATTTATCAAATGAAAATCATCAACGAAAAAGATACAATCACATCATCAACGAAACGACTTCATCTTCCGTGCCCCAAACCCACCGTCAGGGTCGAAACCCGCATCATACGTGCATCTATTATTGGATCTCCTGCTTATTAATCACAAAACAAAAACCAAGCAGAAAACATCTGAATCGTCATTATGGCAGAAGAAACTTTCAACATGGACGGCATCCATTCCATGGGAATCGTCAACGCAATGAGGACTGGAGATATGTTCATGGATATGATCATTGCCATGTGCATTCCAGTCGTCATAAGGACTTTATTTTCCTTTTTCAGTGCCGCCAAGGCAAAAGAGCTGTCTGAGAAATTCTGGGCGTGGTATAACAAGGAAGAAGATTACGAATCAGACTACCATGAACGTATCATCTCTCACACGGTCGAAAAGGACCGATATGATGAATTCGAACCTGTGGACGTCGACTCTCACAATGAAGTTTTGATCAAAGCCATCACCATGTACTTGCATCACCTTCAGTCTGTGGATCTGAAAGAAGCCAACATTACTTTGACAGGAGGAGGTAGCTCGAAACAGAGTTACTATGATGTTGGTGAATTCGAAGACGGGGACTACAGTTACGCCCGAACTTTGTCGCGATATGCAATTGTGAAGAAACCATTCAAAGGGCATTGGCATGTGTAAGTTCTTGTTTCGTTTCGTATTGGGCGTTGATTTGTGTGACGATGATCTACTGAAAGTGCGAACTGACGATGCTGCGTTTGAATCTTGTCATAACCTATCTGCAGTGTGGGACGGAAATACCCCAGCGAGGATCCAAATATCAAATTGGAAAAGCTTGCAGAGGACGAACCTTTCGAGAAGCTCACATTCTTGCGAAAAGATGACGGCACTAAGGTCCCAATTCCAGAAGATGGACTGTATGAAGTCGAGTTCATGTTTGGTGAAAATGAAGAACAGAGTGAGGAAGACGACGAAGGGAACGATGATGAGGATAATAATCGAAAGAAGAAGAAGATTCTCCGACAACGCCGCGAAAAGTCGTATTCCATCCGATCCTTGGGCGAGAATGCAATGGATGCCTTTATCGAGGAAGCCTACGTGTGGTACATCAAGCAGATCAAGGATTCCGAAAAGGACAGTACGCGTTACATGTTTGACATGAAGAAAACCTCTTCCTCCCCGGGGGATGAAGAGAAGAAACATACTTTCAAGAAGTATGAATTAAGTGACGAAAAAACGTTTGACTCCCTCTTCTTCCAAGAAAAGCAGACAATTGTGAAACTCTTTAGACATTTCTTGGATAAAACTGGCAAATATGCGATCAAAGGTTATCCGCAAAAGCTAGGAATTTTGCTTCATGGGGTAAGCTATTTCTGGATTGGCGATTTTGATCGGCGGTGATTTTTCAAATGCCTCACCAATGAACTCGTTTGCAGCCTCCGGGAACTGGAAAAACCTCGCTCATCAAGGGTAAGCCATCTATTCTATTCATATTGTCTACTATTTGTCTCGCCCACCTTTCTCATGTGTTATTATTATCTTCTGACCTCTAACAGCGGTTGCGGAATATACGGGGAGGCACATTATCAATATTCCTTTGGCTCGTATCAAGACAAATGAAGAGTTGACTCAGCTCTTCTTTGGTGGCGAATACGACGTAGAAGGCCAATACTATCCGCAAGAGCTTCGCTTCAAAGATGTCATCTTTGTCATGGAAGATATCGATGCAGCTTCGAAGGTTGTGCAACGTCGCGATGGTAAGAAAACAGCGGAAGTCACCCAAACGCAACATGTGGAACTTCCATCTCCAAAATGTATGTGGCAAATGCTGGTGGAGTCGAACAATGACGAATGCAAGAGTTTGGTAGAAAAGCTGATGGAGAAGTCTCCGCGTCTAAAAAAAGAAGCACTGTCATCCGGGACCATGCAGTCGCTTGCCAAGCGTATGACAGCAGTACCTGGAATGACCCTCGTTGGCCACCAAGAAGCTTGTGCCGATCCCATGGACGCTGCCATGGGAACAGTCGAGTCCAATACAATCAAGAAGATTTCGGAAGGAGCCATTGAAGTAGGAAAGGGAATGATGAAAGACTGCGAGTCGCTTGATGAATATCTTTGCTTCCATGCCAAAGCGATGATGAAGATGCTTGACATGGGAGCTGCTGTTGATAAGGACTTTGAAAACGAATTGCTTGGACTATCTCCAGAGCTCTCGGACCAAAGGACAACTGTCACAACTCGGCCCAACATGATATCTAGAGATGTTACAGTCAGCAAAACAGGAGACAATGTCGAAATGGACGTGAAGAACCCGATGTCGATGATGGACTATGAAGGGCCAGGCCTTGGCGGCATGGGCGGCATGGGTGGAATGGGTGGAGGCATGATGGGTGGATTCGGAGGAATGGGAGGAGGAGGTCTTGCGTTTGGAGGCAAGGATGATGATAGCCTCGGTGGTGTTGGTGGAGGAGGCTTTGGTGGTGGAAAGAAAGGCAAGTTCGGTGGCCTTGGTGGATTAGGCGGCTTGGGAGGTTTCGGCGGTGGATTTTCCATGGTGAAAGATCCTCTTAATCTTTCTGGATTGCTCAATGTCCTTGATGGTGTTGTGGATACGCCAGGCCGAATTCTAATCATGACATCCAATCATCCAGAAAAGCTGGATCCTGCCCTTATTCGACCTGGGCGAATTGACAAGAAGCTCATGCTTGGCTACATGAAAGGCGACGACGTCTGTGATATGCTAGAGCATTATTTCCAACTAAAGTTGAATGAGATCCAAAAGACCCGAGTTCGCAAAGCCATCAAAGGCGATAACATGACCAATCGCCCAACTCTCAATATGACCCCAGCCCAAGTTGAACAGCTCACAGCCGAGCATGATTCGATTGATGACATGATCGGAGCCTTGGAAAAGAAGGGTGCGCCACTCCAGACACCATTCTCGTCCATTGATTTCAAGGACATGGCCAAGAAAATGGATGCAAAGTCTTCCTCCTTCATGACAACCAAGGATTTCACAGAAATGTTGAAACCAGCTTCCGAAGAGAGCGGTGGCTCACCCGTACAGCGATCCAGCATTCAATTTGGATAAGTGCATATGTTTGTAGGAATAATGATACACCTATTTATAAAATTCGTTTTCAAAATATATCTCATTTGCCCTATTTTAAAATTCTGCTGTGGTAGTTTGTATAACATTCATTCATCATTGCGAAGCATTGCCACTCAGCAACTCGGTAGTCTGCTTGATATGACATTTCATGACACGGTCCGAGCAACAGCCTTTTGCAAAGCATTGTCATTTATTCAGTGAGACGAGAAACGGTACACTGACGAATGATAAGAGTCAGTCGACAGTTTTCTAGTGCAATGCTCCAATCGATCAATCCGTTTCAACCCACTCCTTCTGACGGAGTACTGTAGCTTCGCTAATAGATTTATTGTTCCGTCTGGTAGAAAGGGTTGGGGTATATTTCATTTTAGCTCAAATGTGCGTTGCTCTCGATGGTGTATAGGCGGCGGTACCTACTATTCAGATTGGTACAGCGGTCATTCGACCCCAAATGATTGATTGATTCATTCGAGATCTGAATTCCCGTGTCACTACGGTCCATGATTAGTTCCATTCATTCCACCATAGACTTGATTGCGACACCACATTGCCTTTCTTTCCCACCCCGTCATGTCCGTTTTGTTTTCATCATTGTAACTTTGCGAAACTCGTCCATTCAAGTGACAGATATGCGTCTGACCATCATCACGACGTCCGTAGATCTGCTGGCCCAAATACGTGCAATTCCATCGAGCCTTCCACCCCAGAACCGTTTCCATTGCCCTTCGATGATGCTTCATCTTGCTCAGGAGAAAGGTGTAATACTTCTTTGTTGTCAAGTGATTGTTGTCACTCCATGCCTTGACGGAAAAGAAATCCAATCCATTGAAATCTTTTGCAGGGAAGTCCGACATGTTCTTATAGGATCGACATTGGCTGTCCCTCGTGTTCTTCTTGTTATTGTACCGAAATCTAACATTATATAGAACATCGGGATGTTCCCGCATAGTCTTGAGCAGCCTCCAGTGATCCACCTCATTGGAGAATGGTAGATCGTGTTGGATAATGTACAAGAATTCAGTCTGGATGTAGTTCTCCAGAGTGTACTTGACACTGCCAGCAAGATTTCGATGTACTCCCATGGGCGACACTATTACATTGGTAAAGGGACTGAAGTCGCCACTTCGGACAGCTTCAATGTATTGCTTTTCCCGGATCCGATTGTCGTCCGTCAGCTTCTTCTCCGGGAGACCATCTACCACCACGTAGATGGGAGTATCCAGAGGGATGTCTTTTAAGAACTGGTAAAAGGAATAGATCGTATCCTTGAGCATATCAATATTTGGATGTGTTGGAATCAAATTGGATGTGATCATGATAGATGAATCCCAGACTTTTGTCATGTTGAATGATTCCTGTGATGCCTTTGTTGAGTAATGAGACAATCCTGGGGCAATCGTCTCTTGTTCCTCGAGAACTTGACTTTTAAAAATACTGCTGTTTGTCCCTGCAGTGTCATCATCAGAAGTAATATTGGCTTCGTTCGAGAAAGTCACAGGTGAAAGATTAAAGTCTTCTCGCCAGAAATCTTGCTTCAAAAGCATCATGGGAAGTCGCATTGTGAATGCCAGTCCCAACAAACCTAATATGGCCTGCTTTTGGGACAGCATCATCTTCATCTTGCTTCACGGACCTTTTATTGCTAATATAAGATTGAATAAGGCGGCGAACTGTCGAGGCCTCCTGTAGACAAATAGCTGCCACTTTCACGAACTATATGCATCGGATATTACAGTATTGTTTGTGATATGTAATGCGATGCGGGTTGATGATCACGATTGACGATGAGATGTGCGTGAGGATGATTATTATTGATATGCGATATGATAGATGATGATGATGATGACTGTATGTATGCGCGTGACAGTACCGCGCGGTATATTGTATAATTTTATTATACCGGTAAAATACCGGTATATAGTTCAAGTGCGTGATGATGACTTTCCCAATTTTAGTCGGGCCTCTACGTATTAAAATAAGTACTCATTGGAAAATAAGAACAAGTAGGATACTATCAGCGAAAAAGTAATTCTTTTATCAACCCTAAATTATGCTGCAAAGTCTTCTCTCGCTGTTGCTACTTCCCTGATCGAAGTTGGCGAACTAGCTCCTCAGCCCAAAAGTCGCGGCAGTCCTCGCTCTGTTATAGCCAAGAACAAACAAGGCCCGAAGGTGCTTTACTCATTCCATCGTTAACATTACTCACAATAGACATCCTTGATCTCTACAAATGTATCTAAGGAAACCTCGACGAGTCCCAGCTGTGCGTCTTCGAGGCAAGGTTGATAATCGTTGGCCGTAGACTGTGAGAAACCACAAAAAATCCTCCAACATGAGTCTCCGCCGGTGGGATCCGGGAACAGAATCGTTGGATATTCGTTGAAATATACGGTCCCGTTTACCCTGCCATCTAGAAATGGAAGATCCTCTTCCAATATGGTTGCGTTCGGGCCCATGATATCTGAGCAAGATTGGCGACGCCAGATTAAAGCGTCCATCATCTCCGCTCCGTCGGTGTATATGGGAAAGCCAGACATGGGTTTGGATTCTGACAGCTGACAATTTTCCATATACCAAGCTAGACTGCGGCATGTATCATCATTCCAAAGGTCGTCCACTTTTGCACAGGTCCAGGAGTCATACGGGGGGTCTGTGGATTCCAAATAAGAAATTGGGTTATCCCTGTTCTTGTCACGCCAGTATAGAATCGGAGAAAAGGGCGGGTCCTCTAGCGTCTTTGTGTCTTCATTCCATGCGTGATAGAGCTCGGCAATAATGCGAGGCGAGCAGTCTTCCAAGCAAGTCGTGTCGTTCATGGCTGGAAACGATGAATTTGAGGATGATGATGCAGCGACAACCTTATTCTGATTGTTAGCAACAACCTTCTTCTGACTCACTTCTACGGTACCATCAGCACCACTGGAGACGAAAAGAGCCAAAGGTAGGAATAGTGGGAGACTCAATTTCATTGTTATCTGATATCTCTCTCACTCTTGCGCAAAATGATGAAAGATCGCATTATGGGTGCGATGTGTTATTTTATCATTACAGTCATTATTATTTTTATGGTGAACGGACACGATCTGACTGAAAAATGCTGCGGATATATATAATATTCGACTACTTTAGTCCCGAGTGTAATAGTCGTCAGTTTACCTACCCACCGAATACCCCCGCAGTGTGCTACGTCCAATCTATTTCATATTTGAATACCATAAAAATACTTTGCTCTAAGCATTACAGTACTATACATTCAATATGGTGCCCCCGCGTCGTTGCCGAGCACATCCCCGATTCCGAATTCCCCGTTGTATCTCCAAGAAGGTCGTCGCAATAACGACTGCTACAATACCATTACGTCAGCATGACCCCGAACCAACATGCTACTAGTATTCCCAGAAAACTTCTGATAGAATGAGTTGTTCCACTCCTATCTTCTCCAGTAGCTTTCCCATCGTCCAGATCTGGGGGAGACAAAGGCGTTATAGGTGGCCAGCACGTTTGAAAGTATTTTTGGTTGTGAAACTCGCGACTGAAGCATGCGTACCGACCTGCGCCAGCACCTCTGCTTGGATCAGCGCCCGACCGACGAAAGATGTTGGAAGAAACATCGAGATCTGGGATACAAGCCGTCGGCGGATGCAATCTTGTAGCACTGGCCAATACGGGACCCACAGACTCGAGAATTTCGATTGCGTGGCGAGGTGTAATCTTGCGCCCACCCAATGGCCATTCCGCATATTGCTTGGCAAGTAGGGCCTTATCCGGAAACTGGACTGCAAATTCATCGCTCCAAATCGAGGCACGAACACGATGATCATATATCCACACATCCACCGGATACATCCTACAGCAGTATATATCATCATGTATTCCAGGTAGTAAGCAACACGAACAAGCAGGGTCAGGGTGGGTGGCGCCATCAGGATTCGCAAGCTGGTATATCTCTGATCGACATTGACTTACGTTTCATTGTTGCAACTTTCAGAGACCTCTTCTTGACACGCTGAGAAATACTTGTCCACTTCGACCCACTCCCAAAAGTATGTTTGCGTACAGCTTGGGCAAGCACCAACATGAAACAAGGGCATTCCCAGCTCTTCAAACATTCTCAGTACCATCTTGGAATTAGGAAGCAAAATGACTATTAGCCTTGCAAAAGGACCCATTGTCGGATTCATCCATTTTCACTCAGGCACAACATGATAGTACTTACATCGGTGTTGGGACTCGCAAAGTAGACGGTACTTCGTGCTAGATTTGCAGCCATGGCACGAACTCCATTGTTGTGAGCAATTTCCATCTGGTACACAAATTCTTCTGCAGCGGCGCAGAGGTCTTTCAAATCCTCCTCGAGGCTTGCTGGCTCATCAAAACCTAAAAAAGCCGCCAAATCCCGATACTGTTCAACGATGTCAATCATGGACTTTCCAAAGCACTTTGTATGATTCGAGCATCCTTGGCCTTCCAATGCAATATCATTGAATATTATCTTTTCCTTTGGAAAGGCATCGGTAACCTCGGCGAAATTCTGAAACCCCCAGGGACTTTCCCCATAGCCATGCACAATCAAGAAGTCAGGATCCAATTCCAGAAGCATTGTCAGGTTGAAGTGAGTACAGTACCCTGGCTTTTGGGCGCATTCTGGCGACAAGTTTGCCACAGTCTGAAGCCTGACAAGGTCTTCTGGCTCTGGATCTCCCGTGTAGCTGGAAGTCTGTTCAGGTGAATTGAAATCAATATCAGATTTCTCGATGACGTATTCGCCATAGGTTCCTATCAGTTGGTCGGTTGTAAGGCCTGGAGACGAAACGACGGTGAATAATGAGAGCATGAGAGCATAAAAAGATGGTTGTAGGATTTGGGTGATAGATAGACATACCATAATCAAACAATGATACTGCTGTATGAGCAAACGTGACAATCTTAGGTTTTCCGGATACAGTGTGTCTTTTCTCATAGTCATCTACATAGACACGCTGTGCTTTTGCGGAAATCACAGCCACAATAAATGTAGCAGCAATTGTAGAGGCTCGCATATATGCATGTGATACTCTGAATGCGTTGGATGATGGATGATGGATGATGAGCAACTATATGTGTTGGATATGTGATGAGAACGCTCTCCATATCGGTTAATTGTTGTTTTTACGAATCAATCAACTTGGTGAGGGCGCGGGAAAAATTCTTGGGCGACGCCATTGGTCGAAATATAGCGTTTGGACATGATCGACACGTGCCTACCGGTATACTCGTTTGCCGTAGGTACTGGACCAGCTCCATAGCATAATATATGTACACTTACCGATACTATGGTACCTCCCGCACGTACTGCTAAACATGTTTCAAATTTATCCTTGTTTCAAATATATTGTATCCTACAATACTACAGTATATATACTCTTAAGATCTCCCCCCAACGTAGTGCGAAAATTTGAGTGATTCAAAACGAGAAATATTATGTCAACTTTTGTTATTAAAATATATAATAGCAAACTACGAAACTCAAATATACTGAAAGCGGCTAAGGGTGCATGTACAGCTCGAAAATGCTTGGCAGCTCATGTGCGTGCTTGGCAGCTCATGTTGGTGCATTTACCGCGTTTTCGGCTGTGATGGAAGCGAATACTATTTGCATTTGACGGCAATAAGTCGCTATTACACAGAGTAGAATCTTTTCAATTCTTTAGCGTTGTTCGGCTTCTGACCTACTTGCGTGTCATTCATTGGATCCCGTTATCGATCAAATTTTCAATAATAGCAGAGAACAAGATCCGTCTTGGCTTCAATACAATGTTCTAACCAACCGTGATACTCTTTCAAGGCATCTTGCACATTGCTATCCTTGACCTTGGCAATATTGTTCTTCAAAATGCTTGAAATCTTTGGCATCTTTGCCAATTCGAGAGTTCCAACACAAGGAAAGTCAGCTGGTGTCGGAAGCCCTTTCAATATGTCGTATCTGTAAATCAAATCTCCGGGCAGGGTTACCTTGAAACCGGATTCCTTGACTTTCTCCTGAATGGTGTCAAACCAACTGTATCTCATGGGCGAATGGTTCCAATTTGTTAAGAAGTGGCCAAAAGCATCGCACCAGCATTCCAATACATAGTAGTACTTGTGACTACAAGATGATTCGTAGGATTCTCCTTCGGCCAAACCCATGATTAGTTGTCGGTTGCACTCGGCGGCTGTCTTTGCATCATCTTCGTCATCGTCCTCGACTCGCAATCGGACAGAATTCATAAAGCCGGCATCTTTGGATCCAGCCATACTTCTCAGGGCGTCCAATTTGACTGCATATGGCATGACACCGTAACCCATGTTTGTAAATGTAAAGGAGATCGAGACTTATTGTCCCAGTAGAGGTGTTATTGTTCATGATGAGGGACTATGAGCATAAATAACGAGGAGCCATGAGAAGCACAAGAGCAATATAATATATCCATGCGTGTATAAAATAATATGTGCGCAGATATACCGTATATACGTATACCGAGCGAGTGACGTCATCGTTCTTCAATGATCGTCTTCCCCCAAACTCGATTTCAACAGGTTGCTCATCGGTATATACATCGTATAGTATATTGATACTGTGTCTGATGTCACAAACTATACTTAGAGAGCATCAGCTCGTACATATAGCTTGTATAACTGGGAGTATTACAGATCTAAATGACTAAGTAATAAGTTTGCTATAGTGTTTCGAAGGAGTGAGAACAAAGTCCTCAATGGCATCTCTCGCAGCACCCACATCTATACTCTTTGGGATTGTATCCTTAAATCAATCCTTTAGTGGAGGAATCGCCTTTGCACGATAAGTCTTGTGTGTCTTTGTGCATCGCAAAACGATCATTAAGCGCATGATTGATATGCATGCTCACCTATCAAGAAGGGGAGCCCAGCCAGGGGTCACTTGCTTCTTTCTGCGATACTATTAGTAGTCTGATCGTCGAGGACACACCAACAGCCATGTAGTATCAATTTCAATAAGTGTTGCAATGGTATTGTTGATTCTTTATCCTCACGTTCATGTCCTGCTTCTCGAGTGTGTGGATCTGGAATGGGCGGAAGATGGATACGGAGAACGGGGACGATTGTAACCAATGCTCGACTTTCGCATTGGTTTCTTCAGGCTCTCGGTAGTCACAGGAGAAGACCATTTCGCACTTGCAGACGGTATGGAAACGGTGGAAGCCTCATCACAATTCTCTGGAGCGTCACTCTCATAACCTCCATCCACCAAAATCTTGTCACCCGCCTCTGATGGCACAACGTCAAACGAGATAGCGTCTAATGCAGATTCCATCGGAGCAGAGTATTCCATGGACTTTCTCCTTTGGGGCTTGAAGATGGGCATGGAGGAATTTCGTTCCTCGTCCCCAAGAGCAATGGTCCTTCTTGTGTGTCTCTTCCCATTCTTCTTTGGCAAGTCTACTTGTTGTAAGAGAATTGTTTCAACACCACTACTTGCACTTGCTCTACTGTTCCTTGTATCGCTGTTGAAGCTTTTTGGTGAAAACGTCGTTCCAGGAGATTCAAACATAGAATCGATATCATCATCTCCAATCGTGGACATGGAAACAAGAGTATGGCAGCACGACTGCGGCGTTGCAAACACAATCTCAGGAAGCGCCTTCTTTTGCTGCTGACGAGGACGAAGCGGCGGAGAGCTGCTACATCTAAGGTCAGTTAACGGCGTCGAGTAAGATGAATCCATGGTTGGACTGTTTTTGAATAGTTATACTGTACTATAGGTGCCGTATGAACCATGATGATGGCTCATCCCTATTTGATGGACACGCATCGTCTTATTTTGGAAAGGGCTCTTGATGCGATGGTTGCAAAATAGCTTTTGTCTTTTTTATATCCTTGCTTACGCACCACCTTCTGACCGAAAGGAGATGGTGGGTGCACGATAGCTATAAAATCAATTAACACTGTGGTTACAATGACTGGGGTAATAGTACTAGTTCGACGAGAATGGAGAAGAGGGTGCGAGCCGTGAGCCCAATTGTTCCTCCGTTTATATATATACGTGGTATTATACCGGTACATGTACTAACAATAAGTAAAGAACCTTCGTGCTCCGAAATCATGGAGACGCGTTGATATTAGGAGCGCAACGTTTTACAAGACAGTGAAGGACGGTTCGACAAACCTGATCAGATAGTATTTGCCGAAATTTAAGCCACATCCCGTCGTTTTTGCTTCTTTCATATATATTGGATCATTGTAGCCCCGGGAGAATATCAAAATTACCTAACAAAAAGTCAAGAACTGCACAGCACTATTTTATCTGATCAGATACTGATCACGTCACAAAATGAGACCGACATTGCGTTTTTTGGATTCCGATCGGAATCCATTTTGCAAATTTATGTTCTTTGGTGTAAAAGTTCGTCCGTACCCTATAAGCGTTTCTTTCTATTCAAAAGTTCGCTTGGGACCTACCGGTACTGGAATAATAATTGTTGCTCCCACCGTATGGCAGCTCACAAATCTCAAAACAAGGAAGTAATATCACAATCATCGCAAACAACATCATCATGACTCAATCCAGCAACTCGAAACAATTGTCATCACGCCCAAGTAGCCCAATATCACTAGATTCCATGCTCATGACGATGCCAACTTCCGACTCCATGTTCTTTACCCACCGTGCAAGAGCCACGCCGATGGATTCACCTGAAGATCGAACAGCCATCATGATTGAAATATTGGATGAAGTGCTGGACATGTTGAACGAGGATGTTTTTGAGGACGATCACAACATCGGCAATCCCAATGCCAATCACGCGCTGCAGCAATGAATCTACTCTGCACAATCAGCCATGTACTAGAAGTATACATTCATTCATTCGCAAAACAAGCACTAATGTACATAGCTATTATTTTTATTCCATATCACCATTCTTCATTCATTCATTCGCCGAGTATACATTGGTTTGATCTTTGCTTCTCGTAGACGAAATATCCGAATTCCAAATTTGCCTTGCTTCTCTCTCGAAGGAATTTCCAACGTCTCTTGGAGGAACTCGGTTCGAGTTTGGATCATTGCAAGTATATGGTATATTGCTGGTGAAACTGACGATGAGATGTGAAAATGGACAGATCTAGGTTACGACGAAATTCGTGGCTGTTCACTTGTAAAGTTAACCAGCAGAGGGTTCCATGTTGGTGTTCCATCATGCTCGCAGTCATCACCTATAGTGGTACGAGTTATAGTGGACATCCTGTCGTCATGGATGCGAAAAAAGAAAGCAACTATGCGTCCAAACCGCTTGTTGGCTGTTGGGATGGCATGTCATTGCTGCCGCTTGAGTCATGATCATTGGAACCAACGACTCTGGTTGGCTGTTGGGATGGTGTATCATTGCTGCCACTGGGGGTTGTTGGTTCTGGAGAATGTGCGATGGAAAATCCCTGACTGTGAAGCGTACGGACCACAAACTCCTCGGCCTGTAGGCGAGGATCAATATTGTTATGAATCAATCATCATATGAAGAAGGGATGAATATAAAAAAGTAAAAGACATAATCAATGGAGCAAGTGCTTGCAGCTTACCTCATCTATGGAATAAGTTGGTATATGGACTGAATGAGCATGAGCATGAGCATGACGACGAAGTCGACGGTGCCCTTGAATCATACCCGGGTCCGCATTTGTCATGAGAAAAGGTGCAGTAAGCCATATCGCTGAAATTCGTTTCATGGTTGATTGAATCTTGTCTTGTTTGAAATTGCAGACGTAGAGCGATGCTATCAAGTTTCCCTTATCGGAATCGAAACTGCCTCGATTTGTGAGCAATATGTTCCTGTTGCATCTTGTCGAAGCTTGTTCCATTCAGTGGCTCTAGTCAACTGTCGGAGAAAGAAAGCATTCTCCTACCGCTTTGATTTGAGACACTCCACTCACGATCTCACTGTTCGACGACATCGGTTGGAAACAAAACAGTGGAGCTGAAGTGAGAAAGTCTTGACTTCCCTGGATCCTTCTCCGGTTTACCTCAATTGGCGTTGCCGTAAAACCAATCGTCCGAGATCCATTCATTCGCATTCATGACGGTGAGGTATGTATATAGGTTATTCCCATTCACCGTAACACTCCTTCCATTTGGAAATCTCCGAAGCCTAGCTTTCCCAACGGAGAGTGAAACTTTCGGCACTTTAGGTTTCAGACAGTTCTCCGAGTGTCACGGTGAGGAAATACAGGACCCGTCATTTTCAAAGCAGAAGAAAGAGACAAAGCACACAATATGCGTATGTGCTATAATTATTTGCCTGTGCGATGATTTGTTGATGATCGACGCGCGGCGGATGGACATATATGCCCCTCGTCTTTCGTACTTAGACGAGACTGAAACACTGTTCGTGACTGCGAAGATACAAGTGACAAATCGATACCGGTACCCTTGCCGGTACTCCATTTCAACGTTGCCAACAAGTGACTCACATAAAGACCGATCTTTCAGTCTCACTGCTTTCTCACTGGTACATACGTACGCCGGTACACGTGTATTACCAAGTACAAACAACATCACATGTTTGACATGAAATGTAGAATATAGAATAAGTCTGTTCAGGTGAATTGAAATCAGTATCAGATTTCTCGATGACGTATTCGCCATAGGTTCCTATCAGTTGGTCGGTTGTAAGGCCTGAAGACGAAACGACGGTGAATAATGAGAGCATGAGAGCATAAAAAGATGGTTGTAGGATTTGGGTGATAGATAGACATACCATAATCAAACAATGATACTGCTGTATGAGCAAACGTGACAATCTTAGGTTTTCCGGATACAGTGTGTCTTTTCTCATAGTCATCTACATAGACACGCTGTGCTTTTGCGGAAATCACAGCCACAATAAATGTAGCAGCAATTGTAGAGGCTCGCATATATGCATGTGATACTCTGAATGCGTTGGATGATGGATGATGGATGATGAGCAACTATATGTGTTGGATATGTGATGAGAACGCTCTCCATATCGGTTAATTGTTGTTTTTACGAATCAATCAACTTGGTGAGGGCGCGGGAAAAATTCTTGGGCGACGCCATTGGTCGAAATATAGCGTTTGGACATGATCGACACGTGCCTACCGGTATACTCGTTTGCCGTAGGTACTGGACCAGCTCCATAGCATAATATATGTACACTTACCGATACTATGGTACCTCCCGCACGTACTGCTAAACATGTTTCAAATTTATCCTTGTTTCAAATATATTGTATCCTACAATACTACAGTATATATACTCTTAAGATCTCCCCCCAACGTAGTGCGAAAATTTGAGTGATTCAAAACGAGAAATATTATGTCAACTTTTGTTATTAAAATATATAATAGCAAACTACGAAACTCAAATATACTGAAAGCGGCTAAGGGTGCATGTACAGCTCGAAAATGCTTGGCAGCTCATGTGCGTGCTTGGCAGCTCATGTTGGTGCATTTACCGCGTTTTCGGCTGTGATGGAAGCGAATACTATTTGCATTTGACGGCAATAAGTCGCTATTACACAGAGTAGAATCTTTTCAATTCTTTAGCGTTGTTCGGCTTCTGACCTACTTGCGTGTCATTCATTGGATCCCGTTATCGATCAAATTTTCAATAATAGCAGAGAACAAGATCCGTCTTGGCTTCAATACAATGTTCTAACCAACCGTGATACTCTTTCAAGGCATCTTGCACATTGCTATCCTTGACCTTGGCAATATTGTTCTTCAAAATGCTTGAAATCTTTGGCATCTTTGCCAATTCGAGAGTTCCAACACAAGGAAAGTCAGCTGGTGTCGGAAGCCCTTTCAATATGTCGTATCTGTAAATCAAATCTCCGGGCAGGGTTACCTTGAAACCGGATTCCTTGACTTTCTCCTGAATGGTGTCAAACCAACTGTATCTCATGGGCGAATGGTTCCAATTTGTTAAGAAGTGGCCAAAAGCATCGCACCAGCATTCCAATACATAGTAGTACTTGTGACTACAAGATGATTCGTAGGATTCTCCTTCGGCCAAACCCATGATTAGTTGTCGGTTGCACTCGGCGGCTGTCTTTGCATCATCTTCGTCATCGTCCTCGACTCGCAATCGGACAGAATTCATAAAGCCGGCATCTTTGGATCCAGCCATACTTCTCAGGGCGTCCAATTTGACTGCATATGGCATGACACCGTAACCCATGTTTGTAAATGTAAAGGAGATCGAGACTTATTGTCCCAGTAGAGGTGTTATTGT